AGCTGTTGGGGCTTCAGTGGGCTTATGTAGAAGAGTCGCAAGCGCCGGGGCCCGGCCCCGCTTGAGACTCCGTTTATCCGAGTGCAGCCTGCTCCAGATAGCTCCACACTGCCAGTCCCGTGACCAGCAGCACCGAAAGGAGGAGGGCCTGCACATCGTGCACTCGTAGCAACCGCTTCGGACACATTGCTGCGATGCATTGCTGCTTTCCGAGCTCTCCACAAAGCAGCTCTGTGCGAGAACGAAGACTTGGAAATACCTCTCAAGTCGGGATGCCCTCGGTTGCCCAGTTGCAAAACTGAAGGTCACGCTTTGCCGGTGATGATATCGACATCGTAGATGGCTGCATAGAGCCAATCTGCGTCGGATGCCTTCAAGCAGGATCTGGCTGGACAGAGAAACAAAAGATAGGATAATGCTTGGGCTGGACGGCTGGACCTCCCAGTACTCGTTGCGTTCCAGGTGCATGAACTTCCGGATCATGTCCGACCGGTGCGCCTGAAAGAAAGCCCAGACTCCCCAAAGCCCAGAAGCAGGACCCTGGCCGAAGTGCCCTAGAGTGCCCTAGAGTGCCCTAGAGGCCTAGGGCCTGGGCCTGGCGGATGCCCCCGGTCCGGCCGCGGTTCCGGGTCTGCACCACATCGGCCCAGCGGTTCAGGCCCAAGCTCAGGAGCTGAATCAACACCAACAGCAAGCCTCGATCGAGGCTCTTTTGGGAGTCTTTTGTCGTATCTCCGATCTCTCTGAGGTCTCTGCATTCCAGATACCCCCAGGTGGAGTTCAAGCCGATTAACCGACCAATCGCATGGTCGACTAGCGTCTTCTGCACAAGGGTGGAAACCTCAGAGCTGGAACACTGGTGCCAGACTCTCAGAGCTCGGCTGCAGAGACCCCGACAAGCACTGAGTGCACCGGCAAGAAGACCTGAGCTCCCCAGGACAGCGACGGAGCGACGCTTTCTGCACCTCCGTCCCCGAGGTCCCCGCCATGGCGATCATGGTCTTGGTCCACTTGTCCCCCCTCCTCGCAAAGGCACATGCTGCGTCGCGTCTCTCATCGCCCCTCCTCTCTCTCTCTCTCTTGTCCTGCTCCGGTCCGCTTTGATGAAGTACCTCATCAAGCTGATGCCCTGGCCGGTCCGCATATGTGAAGGGATGTTGGCTGGCCACGTATCCTGCAGTCGCAGCGGGTCAAGAAGTGATTTCTCCAAGTTCCAGGTTCCTCGTCGAAGACCCAAATCGTCGCTTTGGCCGGGGCTGCTTTTTTGGCCATGGAGTCCCGCAGTCTGCCAAGTCGAGCCTTTCCGGCAACCACCATCAGCACACACCTACACCACCTACACAAGATTCTGAGAGCCTGGAACCAATACGAGTTCTGCCAGCAATCCTTAACCATTCTGCAGACCACAGTGGCTTCAGACGAATCCTTTGAAAGGCACCTGGTGGTGAACCACGGGTATCCGAAGCACCGCTTCGCTCTGGCCAGGCGAAAACACAACCTTGAGTGCACAACACGACAAACACAGGCCAGTGTCAAATTTTGCATGTAATTGCGGACTTGACTTCGCTATCTGGCTTCCTTGGCTTCGGAATGCTCCCTCAACCCTGCGGATTTCGTAGGTGCCTAGTAGGCATATGAAAAACAAAATATATGCGCTTACACTCCCCCGCACGATTTGTTGTAGGCAATTTGTAGGGTCAACTTGACCGAACCCTCACACCAACCTTGTGTGGTTCACTCTTGGTGGCTTCTGTGAGCCGAAAGAATGGAAAGGTCGGGAGTTGAAATTGCGCCACAAGCCGCAGGCACACGAAGGGCAAGCCCTCAACCTCCCCAGTTATCTGGGGTCTTCGCCGGTCTAATATACGTAATGAAGGTCAGTTCGCCTGGCAATTAAACCAGAAGCATGCCCAAGAACACATCCTAGAATCACTGTATAGAACTAATTAGGTGGGAAGGAAATAATTAGCGATGTTCAACAAATGAAAAGTTTGCACTTAGCTTACCTTTTCCCACCAGGAGGAAACCACCTGGACCACCACCACCTGCACTGGCGGGATTCAGCGTACTAGGGACCCCCTGACCGCAGTCCTTTCCCGCCCTGTCTGGTGGGTTTGGAGTGTTTTCAGCGCCACGGCCAAAGCGCTTCCCCTCATGTACTCGCGAAACGTCTGCATGAAGAGGACATGGGCGCAAACCAAGCACCGCGCCACGGCAGGAAATGTTCCGGGCAGTGTTCCGGGCGTGCCTCTGCCCTGACACTGACCAGTTCTGTAGGGTTAACGTACGAACAAAACAGGGTGTACCGCGCTGTTTTTGGAATATACATTCAAGACTTGTGAATTTAATGTGAATGCTTCCTCCTAGCTGCACTTCCTCGAGGGATTTGCAGAGTTTACAGACAGTGGGGTCATAGGAGTTGGAACCAAGCAGCAGAGTGGCTTTGAGGATAAAAGTCCTTGTCCGCCTTCGCGCCACCCTCGCTGGCTTCCACGACAACTTCCACTTCCAAACTTGATTCCTGCCTGCATGAAGTACAGAGAATCATATGTTCTGCCATTAGGTTTCCTTTGCCGCCCTTGCCCTGGCCCTGGGGGCCTGGAGCGTCGCAGGAACACCACTGCTTCTTTGGAATGCTGGAAGCAGGGGAAGCTGTGGTGTGCGAAGCTTACAAAGCTGGCCTGCAGGCGACATGCGGCAAAGATGGTCACAAGGAATAACGGAGCGTAACGGATGGATAGTGAGTGGGTCAGTCGCCTCGGCCTGGCCGGTAGCATGCCCGGCAGGCGTCCTGCACTGAGCTTCGGCAACCTCATGGGGTCGAACTTAAGGCGGTGCCTCGGTGACAGCCTGCAAACTCTGCAATCGTGCGGCCCAGCGATCAGCACGATTCCAGAACTCGCTTGCTCGTCGCAAGGATTTCTCTGCCAAGCCTTCCCAGTCCTCACGGCAGGGCCCGCAGGGCCCGGGCTCGGGACCCCCCCCCCTTTGCACTCAGGTCCTGCCTGCTTCAAGGAGACCTGGGAGGGTGAAATACTCCTTCGTGGACTTGCGGGACTTGCGCTCGCTGGGCTGACTGGACTGTCCTGCACAAACCTAGACAGGAGCTCACTAGGCATATTCTCACATGCTGTGCTTGCTCACATGCTGTGTCCCCGAGGTTTTTCCGAAGCTTCAGCTCTACATCGCTTCGCCAAACTGCGCCGTTCTTGTGCAGAATCCGCCGCCATTCTTTCACACCTCGCATCGTGCGGCACAGTGACATCGTGTGAACGCTGCCAATTGTCCACCGAAAGGCTTAATGTAGTCGACAAGCAGGCGTTTTCCAGAAGTACCATCGTCCCAACCTCAAAGGGTGCAACGAAAAGGCTTAAAACAGCACGTCCAAGGTGCTCTCACGACTGGCGAAAATCATCCATGCAAGTCACGGGGAACTGAAGAGTCTGCAAGTCTGCTACGGTGCTTGAACATCAGGAAGACTCTTGATGCCCTGAATTTGAGTGTGATGCTTTGGTCATTTTGTCGGATGCACGAGCATGGTGCGTGTCCTTCTTCAAAGCACGTCGCAAGTTGAGTTCAACCCCACCTGGAAACGATAACACGCAGGAGTGAGTTCCATTGTGAGCCGCCCCATACTTGCCAGGAAGGGCCTTCCAAGATGGCAGAGTTCTGATATGCATCTGAACTGCGGTTGTCGTCCACAGCTTGCGTTTGTCCCGCCCCATGCTTGAAAGAATCTTTACAGGCAAGCAGGGAGCGGAGCTGATTTCCCGGAAGTTCGGTTCTACGTCTGCGATGAATGCAGCAGTTATTTTCCTGCAGCGCCATCAGTATAGAGCGGTTTTGGGAATGGGCAGTTACTCCTCTAAGGGCAGTGATGTCTGTAGTCCTGTGGAGCAGTCGCGAACGCGACACGAGCTTCGTCTGCCGGTATCTGGCATGTTTTGGCAGGCTCCCAGGCTAAGTATTCCTCTCTTGGGGGTTGGCCCCTATGCCGTCTAAGTCGCCGCAAGGAGCAGCAAGGCGGCCAAGGACGGGAACGGATACCAAGAGTTCAATGTGTCAGCATAAAAAGGAACTTCTCGAGGCTTTGCCCACTTGGACCACTCTGCCTGACAGGTACGCTCTAGAGAGAACTCTAGGATTCTCCGAAAGAGCCTTGCGCCTCGTTTTCGAGGATCCAACTGCAAGCGACGCGGACGACGTCCTCTCAGGGGCTCGGTTGTGCAACCTAGCATAACCTAGCCTAGCACCGCGCCCTTTATCAGGGGACAAAGCACGAGTAAGAGAAGAGAAGAGGAAGAGAGGAAGAGAGGAAGAGAGAGGCGCGGGAAAAGCCGCAGAGGCGCCTGGTCGCTGGGCCTTCCGGCGGCGAGCAAGGCTCCGAGCAGCTCCTCCATTCCGGCGCCCTCCAAGCCGTTCTTGGCAGATGCCGAAGCCGCCGAAGCTCTTTTTCCTGCCACGGAGGGATCCGTCGCACTTCCCAGAGCACAGTTACACGGGGGTTTGGCACTGGCCTGAGTTCTGGCGCAGCACGAACTGACTGAAGAAGTTCATGGCGACCGAATCGGCATTGGCGTCCAGGGACAAGAACTTTCGCATTTCTTGCTCCGGGAAGTCACAGGACCAGTGCAGGGCGTCGAGACCGGTGGAGACGCATTGATCCCTGAGTTACTGAACTGTGAGCAAGGACGTACCCAAGAACTCCTAAGCAAAGTAAGCTGCGCCTGGGCAGGGTCAGCCGCAGAACAGGGATCTGCGACAGGGAGAAACTGCAACAAAAACCAAGAGCCATGTCATGCCACGGGCTGAATCGGGAATCTTGTGGACGTGCCGCACCTATCGTCGGCCAACAAATCCAAGAACATACCGAAGGATGAGGATGAACATCACACCGGCAACTTTTTCAAACACAGTCAATGGTAAGTGCTCGCAGAAAAGTGGACTCGGCCTGCATGCAGACAACTTATGGGGCCTCTGAGGCGAGCTAGGCTTGAAGATGCATCCTTGGGGTCTTTGGGGGTAAGGGGGAGGGGTATAGGGGGCTTGATATCAATCAAGACCTGAACAAAGCTTAGCAAGGCCTATAGGAATTATCTTCCCCCTTACCACCCGGAAACTCCTTATGACATGGAGTCGCACTGAAGCTTTCATTGGAAAATAATCAGAAGGTCAACGGGTCACCGACTCAAAAGCGCGCTGTGAGCTGGGACCTGCAGCAGCCGCAGGCCTCATTTGGACAGGAGCGACGAGATGCCGTGTTGTGAACACTTCGGGGCTGCACAGCTTTGGCACAGATGCGCGCGATCTGAGACGAAGAGCGTGTATAAAGCTGCGAAGGATGCCACCTTAAAGTCCAGCCGCTGCTCGCTTGAGCAAACGCGCTTAGTTGTCTGAGTGGCATGTGCACGATGGCAGGAGCAGCGGTCGACAGCGCCTCGCCATGTGCTGCATGTGCTGCCCAATGAGGGGTCGCGTGAAAACTTTGTCGTGGGCCCCTTACCCCTTTCCCTGCTGCTGTTGTGCTTAAGGCTTAACACTTAACACAGCGTTTCGGTGAGTATCTACCACGCTCAAACGAGGTCCTGCAGTGCTTTCCTCAAAACCGAGGTGCTATTTCGTCTGGGTAGCTGCAACCTCAAGACCATTCCTGAAAACTGGAGCCGTGAGGGTTGCCCTGTGGAGTTGCTCTACATGGGTTTTGGGCTTCTAGAAACGACAAAGAGAAAAATAAAACAAAACGTTCTTTTGAACAACTCTCAGGGCTTCGGTATGGATACTGCGGTAGGACGAAAGTCCGTCGCACTCTGTATGTCGCTCTTGAACAGGACACAAACC